GATAAATCCAAAACTTTTGTGGCTTTTTTGTTTCACAAACATGTCCCTGGTAAAAAACACTGAAACTAGAGGGGCTGCATGTCAGTGCCCTGTGCCAGCTCAGTGTCACTCCAGCAGGAACTGCAATTTTCCAGACCACTTGTTATGCACAATTTCAGTGCTGTAATCATTAGAAAGACTCCCTGTTAATTTCAAGCTCTCTCATGCTCCTCACTGGGCCCTCAATAAGAAGCAAAAGCCAGAAAAATACAGGTAAAAAATGGTAAGTATCAAACTTGACTTTAAAAGTTGTTGCATGAAAACATATTCACATCTAGATTCTGTATTCCTTAGCTCAGCTTCAGGGAGTTTTGTGACTGATTTAGTCACAATGACAAAGCTTGACCCTCCATCACTTTCCAGCAATCTTATCTGTTCTATAACTCAGCCAGGGAGCCAAATAATGTCCCCTGTAAGTCAGATTGTCTTGTGTCAGTCAGTTCTCGTGTGAGTACCATGAACATGGCATGCTACCTGCCAGTCACACATACTTCACACCTGCTGTCAAAGTACACTGAAAGCTTGCTTTGTTTGATCAGAAAATCCACAACTGTTCTTACCAAGAGAGAGAATCTCACTTTATAATTAGTGTCATCCACACTATACTCTAATAGTTATGCTTACCAGTGTAATGACAGAATGATGCTACATACACCAAGGTCATCTAACCACAGGTAAGAGAGTGTGGCATTGTACTCTGGTACAGATGCTGGGCACACAAAAAGAGAGCAGAATTTGAAAAGGGACGAATGAAAAGAAAAAGAAAAGAGATATGAAAATTATAAATGGCAGACTGACATAGCCAAAGAAGGTGAAATAGGGGGAAAAACAGGAACAAATTTCACAGGGAAAAAAAATCCCCAAGATATTCTATCTAAATTAAATTGTTGTTATAAGTATCTTAAAAATTTTTTTTTTAAAAAAGTGTTAAAAATTGGTGCCCCAAGAAGAAGTTCTGCAAGCCTTTAACAGCTAGGTTGCCCAGTCAGTGCACATACAGGAACAATCAGTGTAAGCTTTGGCCAGTTGTGCATGTGACAACACAGAACTGGGATTTTTACTCAAACAAATGTTTAACAGCCTTAAAGGCATTTGACAGCTACACCACAAACCTTCTGAGAGCACAGCTATCTATTTCACCTTCTGTTCAGTCTGTGGAAGACACAGTTAAGACAGATGAAAGTACAGCCAGATTTCTGCAGAAAGACTCTGTTAAACACTAAAATTTCTTTATGTACCATGTACCAGCTGCTTTGGATCATCCTATAAGATAAAGCTTCCAATAGCAATCTTCTATCATGAGGCATTTTAACCCCAGAGTGGAAACCTGTAGAAAGCAGTACAACAAAACGCTTGACAGAAGAAACTGCAAAACTTCAGGGTTTCTCTGGCTAATAGAAAGGGAACAGTTTAGGAACACAGGCAAAATAAAAGGCTGTATACTCCAACTGAGAGTGTATTTCTCAAAGACTGAATAATTCTGCTCCCCTCCTGATTTCAAATACAGACATTCTTTAGAGTGGATAAGAACTGTAGTGCACCTGTTTCACTTAAACCCATAAGAACTTATTAATTTTTCTCTGGGAATGACCTTCCCTACCCCACCACAAGCCTGAGCAAGAGAAGATGCAGAGGAATAAGGTGCTGTAAAATGAACTCACCAGGAAAAGCAAACAGAACTTTGATTTCACTCTCCATGATGTCCAAGCTGGGACACATCTAGTTCTCCTTTAGCTCTCAGAGGAAGGCACGACTGAGGGAAGAAACAAAGCTTGAGTTGTCTAAGTGTAAAAATATATACAGCATGCTTTAAAGGAATTATGGCATTTCACTCTGATACCTTGTATTGTTTCACCTAATAATAAAACTCAAATTATTCCACCCCTAGGCTCAGTCTTGTCCAGTTTCTGGTCTATTTCATGTACTAATAATGCAAATTCCTCCATCCCACCTCCACTCTTGCCAGCCCTTCCCCCTAATTTTCCTTTCTCCTTAATAAAGATGAAATATCTTAAGCAAGCACAAGCTTGCTTAAGATTCTGAGATCTCCCTTTCTGGATGTTCTTTAAAGGGCTTTTACAGGAGAAGAATAAGGCACATTATCAACACCATTCCCAGCTCAGTTTGCACATTTCATAACGTTTGTCCTTTCCCTCTAAAAATGAGAAATTTCTCTACAGAAAGAATATCTAAGTATAAATTTGCAAAAGCCCCTTTGCCAGTAGACCTACCAGTTCCTCTAAACAGGGACTAGGGAGAGAGAGGAAGGAAATAAAAAAAAAAAAAATTCCCTTTCAGATAGTTTTCTCCTGAAGGTCACCAAGATTTGGATCTAGCAGGTTCTTTTAAGATGGAAGAATTAAACCTCATTCAAAACCCTTATTTGTTCAAATGATATGAAAAATTAAATCCTAGCCATACCCTAGTAAAGTCATTACCCTTTTTTTTTTTTCATTCTGGTGGTTCTGGGTTTTTTGAAAGGCCTTTTTTGTTAGGAAAGGGACAAAGAAGAAACCATCTTAAAATCAAATCCTCTTCTTTATACTAGACCTGTACACCTTTACTCTTACTGAAGGGACTTTTTTTTCCCCAGTAATTAATCTAGTTGTTTTCTACTTGCTAGCTCCCCTTTCCATATTTAAGCATGTCTTACAGGCTGTCAGGAGCCTAGTGCTCTGCCATGAACAGATTCAATCAATTCTTCAAATGTAAAAGTTTCCTTTTACTTCCACCTCAGGAAACACTTGTACAACAGTACAAGTACCTTGACCAAAACCTTTCCTCTATCCCTTTTGAAGCAGGTTATTTCCTTGTGGTGTTACTAGAACAACAGAGAAGGAAAGAGGCAGGAGGCACCTGCAGACATTACCTTAGGAGATATAAAATCAGGCACTTGAAGGTTTAGTGAGAAAAACAATTCAAGCACAAAGTAAAATTAGGACACATTCAAAGCAAACTCATTACTCACAGAAAAATAAACACCAAGGAAGGAAAATTCTGCCTTCCAGCACAAAAGCCAGCAAAATTACACATTTCTTAGCCAATAGTCAGCTGTGACACTAAACTGCTTGTGTGAGGGCTTGTGAATCCTAGACCTTAAGCAGCCAAAAGGCAGCTGGCTTTGGCCACTGGGTCCCCTGGGAGTCCCCGAGGTCAGTGACAAGTTCTGCGAGCACAGGGGATGGCAGAAAAGCTTTCACAAAGGGTCAGTCAGACAGCAGGACTCTGAGCCCTGAGCTCTGACACTTGCAGCAGGATTTCAGGGCTAGAGGCTGGCATGGTGTCCCTGCTGAGTTACTCAGTTTCCAAAACCGCACCTTCAAGCCAGAGCCAGGGACAGACAGATGGACGCACTCGACTGCTGCGCCGATGCGACACCGTGCTATTAACAGATGACACTATGTTATTAATAACATTCAAACACGAGTGCCATGCCTGCAATTGCCAAAACCTTTCCTCTATCCCTTTTGAAGCAGGTTATTTCCTTGTGGTGTTACTAGAACAACAGAGAAGGAAAGAGGCAGGAGGCACCTGCAGACATTACCTTAGGAGATATAAAATCAGGCACTTGAAGGTTTAGTGAGAAAAACAATTCAAGCACAAAGTAAAATTAGGACACATTCAAAGCAAACTCATTACTCACAGAAAAATAAACACCAAGGAAGGAAAATTCTGCCTTCCAGCACAAAAGCCAGCAAAATTACACATTTCTTAGCCAATAGTCAGCTGTGACACTAAACTGCTTGTGTGAGGGCTTGTGAATCCTAGACCTTAAGCAGCCAAAAGGCAGCTGGCTTTGGCCACTGGGTCCCCTGGGAGTCCCCGAGGTCAGTGACAAGTTCTGCGAGCACAGGGGATGGCAGAAAAGCTTTCACAAAGGGTCAGTCAGACAGCAGGACTCTGAGCCCTGAGCTCTGACACTTGCAGCAGGATTTCAGGGCTAGAGGCTGGCATGGTGTCCCTGCTGAGTTACTCAGTTTCCAAAACTGCACCTTCAAACCGGAGCCACAGACAGACAGATGGATGCACTCTTGCCAATGCAACACCGTGTTATTAACAGATGACACTATGTTATTAATAACATTCAAACACGAGTGCCATGCCTGCAATTGCCGCTCGTTCTGTAGCCACCCTCAGCAATGGCAGCCCCATGCCCGCCCGTGTGGAGCCGTGCAGGCCGGGCCAGGCAGCGCTGGCAGCGCAGCGGGGCGGCTCCATCACCGTGGGAGGAGGTGGAATTGTCAAGGTTGGAAGGCACCTCTGGAGGTGATCCAGCCCCCCTAACAAGGCAGGGTCACCTGGAGCAGGTGATAAGGGAACGTGTCCACGTGAGAGGGAGAGCCATGACCTCCCAGGGCAGCCTGTCCCACACTGTGTGTCAGCTTTTCCTCGTGTCGAGGTGAAACTCCTTGTGTTTTAGCTTATGGCCATTGCTCCTCACCCTGCTGCTGGGAAACAGCGGAAAGAGCCCGGCACCATTCTCTTGGAGATATTTATATGAATTGATGAGGTCTCCTGTCAGGTCTCGTCTCAGACTAACCAGGCCCAGCTCCCGAGTCTCTCCTCACAGAGATGCTGCAGACCCCTCCTCACTTTGTGCCTCCGCTGGACCCTCTCCAGCAGCTCCTTGTCTTTCTTGTACCAAGAAGCCCAGAACTGGACATATTCACCTCAGGAGGGACTGAAAAACTACTTTTATTTCAAGAAAAAGCAAAAAAGATAATCTGGCGTGCAAGAAGCCTCTGGATCAGGGTCGAAATCACTTGATTTCATTAACAATAAGGCCTGTACTACCACTTTCACAGCGCTATGACTCTGAGCTCTTTGAAACCCCTGTCCCCACTCTGTCCCCATCCTCTGTCCCTGTCCCCATCCTCTGTCCCCATCCTCTGTCCCTGTCCCCGCCCCTCAGTCCCTGTCCCCGCCCCTCAGGCCCTGTCCCCGCCCCGTTCCCTCAGACCCCGCCCGTACCCGGGGCTGTCCCGGCGCCGTTCCCGCCCCGCGCTTTACGGCAGAGGCCGCGGTTTGCGGCGGGCCGGTGGGTGAGGGCCGGGCCGCGCTCGGGCGGACATGGTGAGTGAGGGGCGCCGGTGCCCGCCCGCCGGCTCCCCAGGGCCCGCCTCGGCCTTGGCCGCGGAGCGAGGGCCCCGCAGAGGCCGCTGGCTCCGCTCTGGGCCCCGCGGTGAACGCGAGGGGCCGGGATCCCCTCGTTGCCCGGCGCTGCGGTAACAAACGCCGTGTGTGTTCGTTCCCATGCAGGCCAGCACGATGGTGGCGGTCGGCCTGGCCATAGCGGCAGCCGGATTCGCAGGTGTGTGGGGGACGGGCGGGCCCCGTGCTGCGGGGCAGTGCCTCGGGGCTGCTCGCGGGGTGCTTTAATCGCTGCTACAGGGCGCTCTTTCGGGAGAGCCTGTGTGAATGGCTGGAGTGAAACAAAAGATCAAGGTGCTTACTATTTCATCTCCCAAAAAAAGTTTATTCCACACTGTCATCCACGAGTTCCCAGATGCACTGAACTGGTAAATGTTTGTTCAAGGAGCTATATTTAACCTCAGTCGACGCTGGTCTCTTTAAGGTCGCTATGCAGTAAAGGCTTTGAAGCAAATGGAGCCACAGGTAAAACAAGCCCTTCACAACCTACCAAAATCTGTAAGTATTTTTATTTAAAACTTTACTTGGTGAAATAACTTCAGACTGTTGTCTCTGTATGGCATTGCTGTATTTTCTCCTGTATTTTGTTAGTTACAACAATTAATTGCAGCAATTCTGGTGGTGACTGATTAATAGAGAACTTGTTTGGGCCAGTTTAAGTAATTATTTAAATAATGATTCTCTACTTCAACTGAATTTCCTATTACAAGTGAAGTTTTGCCATTTTTACAGACTAAAAGCTCAGCAGCTACTAAAGCAATAATGAGTTGTTTTAACTGATACTTAGAAATTAGTGTGTTTTAAACTAATAAGTTTTTTTCTTTCAGGCCTTCAGTGGTGGTTATTACAGAGGTGGATTTGAACCCAAAATGACTAAACGAGAAGCAGCTTTAATACTAGGAGTGAGGTAAAGGAAATTGATCAGAAATGAAAGGTGAACAGCATTGCAGAGCCACACGTGGTCCAAATAAGCCATTTCAGGGAGCCTTGGGGTTCACTTGGTGTGAGGAACACAGTTCTGATGGTACACAGTGGTTCCTGTCAGCACTGAGAGTTCCAGGTGGATGCAGAGTGAAGGTGCTGCAAACCCACTTCTTGGATCTGGATTAAATTCCTCACTTCTGGAACGTTGTAGATCTGACTGTGGTGGCAATCCCTGACATAGCACTTGAGGCCAAATACACAAATCTATCAAATAAGAACTTTCAACTGTGAGGGTTTTTTTGGGGGGTTCTGGAAGGTTTTTTTACCTTAATAAATCAAGCAGGGGTTTTTTTTTGGGGTTTGTTTTTGTTTTTTTGTCTAACAGCCTTTAGGAAGTTTTCAAAAAAAAAAAAAAGTGACAACGTAGTTGTGTTTCTTCTGAACTGTGTGGATGACCCATTAGACTGCTGTAGCATGTCTTTGTCACATTCAGTGTTTTGGAAGAGCCCTAGAAAGCCTCTCCAGGATTTAGACACCACATATCAGTAGTAGGAATAGAGAAACATGCATGTTAGCTGGAGAATTGGTGGTGAGACAGAGTGCTCACTTGTTCTCAGACACCTTTTGATGATCTGGGGAATTTCATGAGGGTTCCTTAAGTCAGTTTTTTTCTCTCTTTCAAAGCCCTACAGCAAACAGAAATAAAATTAGAGAAGCTCATAGACGGATCATGCTTCTGAATCATCCAGATAAAGGTAAGGAAATTAAGTCCTGTTGATGAATTAATACATGTTTTTAACACAGATGAATAGAATTGTGTGGGGAGGAAGTCAGTGATACATAACCACCTCAACTGCTAAAAAACCCACAGAAAACTGAGCAAAGAGAAATCTTAGGGTGCCTTAATCCACGTGGGTCTAGAGCATATTTTTGTGTGTGATGTTTTAAAGCAAGCAGACAGGTTCAGCAGGTCAGTTTGTTAGCTGCTCTGTCTTCTGTGAATGCCATGGTAGAATATGATTTGTTAAAATGAGACTTAAAATTGCCTTAATTTTAGATGAAAACCCAGAGTACCCTTGTGTGTTTTACATACCACTTGAGAGTTTGAGTTCATGGGAATGCCTTAGGAGTTCCCATAAATGGCAAATACTGAGCCTTCCACAGCTGCTGGAGACATTAAATTATGAAATATTCCTGTTAGTGGTACTCTGAAGGCTCAGAATCTAGTTATGCTCACAGTTAGTAACTCAGGGCATCTATATCTATTCTAAATTCAGTGAGTCAGAATCATGTGTTGGTGTTTGACATTTAACTTCTTAATCATTGCTTAAAAGGTAAAATGGCTTCCTTTAAAATGATTGTTGAATTCCTTCTATGCACCAAAATCCAAAATAATCCATGAGGATATGCCTTTCATAGGTATTATCAAATGAAAGTTACCTTCAAAATGAACCTTACTGAACATATGCAGGAGCTAAAAATAGCGTTTGATGTTGTACATGACCTAAACAAGTTGAAATAATCTTCAAGTAAAACATTATAGTGCAGTTAATGGTATATATGCTACCAACAGAGTCATTGTCCCTCATGGCTTTACAGTGTTGGCTCTGTCTCAGTCTCCCTGAGCAATTTTTTGCCTTGTTTGAAAACTGAACTGGTCCCTTGGTACAGCAGCACTTGAGCTGGGCAGGGTTACCTGCAAACCTGTTAGTTCTGTGCCTCTGTACTCACCACAACTGTGCTAAGTCTGTGGTGACCAATTCATTTATGACTGATAAAACTGGAGGGAAAAAACACTCCAGGAAAATAAAAGCAGCCTAACAGGAGTGGGTGGTCTGACACCAAGCTCCTGCAGTGACTGAACTCAGGTGCCTGCAGTCCTTTCCAGTTTGTTCTACAACTGGCAGAAAGACCACACTCTTTCTTCCTGTATCCTCTGGCATTATTATCAACACAGGAGACAAATGTTGGGTTTTTTTCATCTGATTTGAGGTTCTCTTTCTTCTAGGTGGATCTCCATATGTAGCTGCCAAAATCAATGAAGCTAAGGATCTACTAGAAGACCAAGCTAAAAAATGAATGAGAAAGAAAATCACTCATTCAGAGGGTTTGTCCCTGCAAATGATTATTTTTGATAAATGGCTTAAGAAAAGTTATAATGTCAGTCTTTGACTTAATGAAGCTGGAAATACAAATCCAGGGAGGCACTGCCCTCCCAACTTGGTCATTTTTTTTGGAAATACATGAGGGAGTGAAGCTTAAAGATTTTTTTCATAGCTGTTCTTTGTTAAACAGCAAAATCTGCGACTCAAATATTTTCAGTGCTTGAGAGCAGTGACTTGGTGTGGCCAGTGTGTGTTACCAGGCACAGGTAGACTCGTGTGCTGTCACCTCATTTCTGTTGGACTGGCCATGTTTAAAGTTCACACTGCTGCATTTCCATCTGCTAAAATTAGCACACTGAACCTGTTTGGGAACGGGGTGGAAAAACCAAGAGGATTTATTGGGCAGGAGGAACTGGGAGAGATGTGTGATTGTCTCTGCCTGGAGAAATAAAGTACAGGAAACAATGTACTCCCTTGTCCTTGCCTTGTGAAAAACAAGGTTGGTTAAGTGTTACTGATGGATCTGGCACATCCCAGATTTTTTTAGTAACTTTTAGTTTTGACAGGTTTTAATAGCATTTAATAAATTCAGTATTTGTAATAGAAGTCCTGTAGTTTTACACATTATTGTACTCTACAAAGCCAGAGCTCACACAGTGAGGTTTGCATTTATGGTGAGTAGGAAACAGGAACTCTTTACATCAGTTGCTGATACCTGAGCTGGATTTGTGCTCCCAGCAGCTCGTGAGGATCTCAGCTGGGGCCAGGGAGCTCTGTCATACTCCAAGAATCTTCCCAGTGCTCCTGCCACTCTGCAAAACACTGCACAGCTCCTCTGGGAGTTAATGCCCACCTGGGCATAAACACAGTGGGGCTGAAAGCTTCCACTACTGCCACAACCTGGACTTGGGAGTGCTGCTGGAAGCATCTCATCCTGAGTGCTGCCTGCTGTGCCACAGCATTGCTGTGGATGAGTTCTGGGCTGTTCAGGAAGGATTACCACAGTAATCCTTAACATTACAACCTCCCCAGAAAGGCAGTAATTTTGCTCTGCTACAGAATTCAAAGCAGGGTGAAGGACAGCTGGATCTCTGGAGTCAGCACAGGCCAAGCCATGTGCAGAATGTTTCTGTACTTAAGTACTTCCCAGCCAAACACTACTGACTTATTACATAACTAGTTTTTAAATTTTCTCCACTCCTGTGCCTGCCACATCAGCTGAGATACTTGTGCACGTTTCAGTTACAGCTTTTAACTGGGTGTGTGGTTGCTGAGTGTCCAACACTGCAGTCCCATGACAGAGTGCACACACAGATCGCTGCTTGGGCCAGCTTGGCTGCAGCTCTGGCAGGCAGAGCTGCTGAGAAGGAACTCTTGGTTTTATCCTTCTGACAAAATCAGGCAAGACAATTTTTTTCATTCAGTCAGTACAACTTCAACACAGCCCTTTGCTCTGATTTCTTACACCTCCTTGCTACCCAGATGATTTTCCACACCTGTTTTGTGCTTTCTGGCTCACATAGCAGAAAGATGCGGGGGTGTGCCATGCTTTAACTAATCAAAAACTACATTTGCATTAATGCCTATATATGTTAGTCAGGTTATGCAATTCTCCAAGGTAAGGAGTCTGGTTTTAGACTTGTTAACTGGTGTTTGACACCACTGCCTTAACAAAAGGAAGATCAGCGTGTTAGAAACTTATGAAAAAGAGTTCAAGGTTCAAGCTTGCCTCACAAGTAGGTTTCCATTGTTAGTTAACAGCTTGAAAACCTTAAAGTCAATAGTAATTTAAATTTCTGATAGAAACAGTCAACAGATGGAAGATCAAAGTTTATTTTCTTTTACTACCAGCATACAAAAAAAACATATTGCACATCAAACAACCAAAAACAAAAATAAAAATACTCTACTAAGGACTAACATATGTAGTTTATACAGAATAAACTTTCTGGAAATTGATCTTTTCAGTAGTTCAGGTTATGTCTTAATGGACATGACTAATTCAGCTTAGTGTTAACTAAAGCTATGTTTGATTTTTAAATACTGTACAGTTTAATAAATAAACCAAACAAAGCCTCAATGTAGAACAGTCACTGCCAATGTCACCCAGTATCCCTGCAGATTATGAGAATTTAACAAATGCATTCCAGTGGTCTGCAGATTTTTCCTCTACATACAGCATTTAAAAAACATGTATTAAAACAGACCAGTTTCCAGACTAAACTAATGGAGAAATTACATTTCAGTGCAAAATATTTTAGACTGCATTTCTTTCTAGTATTCCTCAGGTGAAGAAGTGGTTGCATATTATTAAAAATGTAACAAAAGCAGCTAATGCTTTCATAAAGAGTATTATGTTAGGGATCCCCCTCACATCTTTGCCGTATTTTGAAAACAAAATAACATTTCCTATAGCCAGCAATTTTGTTTATTTAAATGTTACATATACTATCTCAAGGCACATCTGATGATATATTTATAACACAGTAGGTGTCAAAGTATGTTTAACATATGATTTCTCCAGGATCCCTCCCCTTTCTGTATTCCAAAATGGAGGAACTGAAAGTGCGGTGTCAAGACTGGCGATCCATATTCTATCTTTGGCAAGCTTATACAAGCACTATTTTAAATGTAATGTAAAAGAACTGTAAACTAGGAACTTCAGTTTATGAAACACCATTCAGCACTGCTTCTTCCTGATTATTTCCATCCTCCTGAACAGTGACTTTCTTTTCATCAGGGCTGTGCTGCAGTTTAGAAGGCTCATCCCCGGAGGTGGTGGCAGGACCATTCACTGCCTTTTCAGAAGGGCTGTTTTCGTCAATCGCGTCTTTCGCCTTGTGAAGACAAGAAGAGGGCAGTATTAAAAACACAACAATACAGAGTGCAATCTCAGATTCTCTCTAGCTCACACAGCAGCTTTGCAAGAGGGAACATCTCTTCTATTCCTGCCTGTATCCTGTCCCTTGAAGCATTTATCACTTACCTTGTGGTTTATGGTATATTTCTGTATCTGCCACTTTGAGGAAAACATGCCAACGTAACCCCAGGACTGCACACCCCCAGAATGCTTATTTATTTCTATTTGTCTAAGCCCATGAAGGAGCTTACTGAAAAACTGAGCTTTACACCCCTTTTGAAGTAGCAAGATGACATTTTGCTAATGGATCTTTTTTACCTAAGTTGTGGCAATACATTGGCACTTTAGAAGTGAAGAAATTCTGCTTTATGCAGCTGTGATTGTTTATCAGGATAATGTAATGCCCCTCTGATCCTTTAAGGAAAAAGGATCAAAACCATACAATCTTTGTAAAATTAATTCCTTCTAAAATAGTTTATACAAGTCACTAAAAATGCCACATAGTATCCTCTATCCCTAAAATGTTTTAAGGAATAGTTCTCAAGACTTACCACGAGCAATTTTCACATTTTATTGCATAATGCAACATTACTAAATATAATATTTCTAAAATGTGTACGGACTTAATTTGGTCCCTAAAATCTGCAACAACAGACAACAAATTGTTGTCAGTTCTCTTTACTCTGGGCCCTTTTTGCTTTTAATGATTTGTTCTTGAAATCAAATGCACTTGTAGTCAAATGATGAGCTAACTAAAGCCTTCATGCCTTTACTGTTCTGCTGCAAGGGAGGAGAAAAAAGGAAATGCACATTAAAAAAATCTTACCGTTTCTTTCTTGGTTTTGGCTACTGTCTCCTTTGGAGGGTTTCTCTGTCTACTCTGAGATTCAGCTCGTGATATATAATCAGCTACTGTTACTGTTCAAGGAAAAAAATCACAGTGATGCTCACATCAGCAGTCAATTCAGCATGAACCTTCATGTCTTTTCTGCACAAGTTATGCTCTAACTGGGAGACATCTCACAAAAGGCCTTCACACTTACAGGTTATCAACCACACAGCAAGGATCAATTTGTTTCTGTTAAAAACAATTTTCAGTAAAATCAGTGGTAACAATGATCTGAAGGTGGACTCTTAATAAAACCAATTTTGGTCCAATTGCAGAATTTACTGGAGAAGGGCTCTCTGTACTAAGTTTGAATAGATTTGGCTGCAGCTCTTTGAACTGCAGACTGTGTGTGTGTCACTGGGGTTTTATGAGCTGAGTAGTGAAGAATTTCACACTAATGAAATGAAATGAAGACACTTGAACAGTGCCCAGAACGGGGGCAGGTCATCCTGGAATCACTTAGGATGATGTGGCATCAAATCTTTGGTACATCACAAAGTGACTGAGGAGGGAGCTGGCCCTCCTTGAGGTACTCATAGTGCCAGCAGCCCTGTGCCCTGGCTGGGCTGTGTGCACACAGGCGGTGCTGCCGGAGCCAGCCCAGCCCGGGGCAGCACAGCTGTGCCTGTGCCGGTACGGCTGCACTCACTGGGGACAGCCAGGGCTCCTCTGACCTCTCCTTACCACCTCAACACGTGTTCTGTAGCCTGCTTTGTCTGATCCTGCCCTCCTGTAACCACACCAAGACTCAGTTCTACCCTTACAATACAAAGTATTGCCACTTTAGATACAGGCTTGTATGTCTGAGCTCATTAGGGCTGGCAAGCATTACCTACTGAACTGTACAGTCATTTACATTTAGTGTATCAGGTGAGCTGTTCTTCTGGATTTAGGAATGACTGGGCATGAAATACAAATCAGACTGGGAACTACAACAGATTAATTATCTGTTACAGTAACTGGACTTGTTACAAATGGGTCCTTCCTGAACTGTGAAGGCCAAAGGAATTTCTGCACAAGTGCTTTTTCTTTAAAATGAGGTTTTGAACCCAATGCCTCTAATATTAGTAAACAGGAAGCATGTTTCATGCACACAGTGCATTCTTAATATTCCTCTGTGAATAAGGCACCATAATTTACATACAGCAATGTAAATTAAATGATACAGCTAAGTGACTGAAATACAGTCGTTGGCATTGGGGAGGGGGGAAGAAGGGAAGAGTTCCTTCTGTCTTAATTTCACTCACACTTACTAGGTATTTATGAAGACTTTACATTATTACAGCATTTTACCAAAGACATCAGAGAAATCTTGTTTGGGAGATTTTGTTATCTTCCTAGAATACTTAAGATTTAAAAGAATTCCCATGGTTTTCTAGAAATGACTAACATTCCTTTACATTGCTGGCTAAGTTTCTTAGAAGTAAAAGCTGAAATCCTTTTCACTTTTTCTGCCCCTTTACAAATCACTGCTACAAAAACTGGAATGTTGAGAAGAAATGTGTGGGTTTGAGGTTTTTTAGGAGGCTGGGGTGTTTGATTTTTTCCTTCCCCTAAGTTTTAGCACAGTAGAACAACTTTTTTCTTCTTAATCAAATGTTGTATGAGCACCACAGATACAAGAAAGACAAATATGGGTGAAATTTTGAACCTGTCAATCTAGAAGACCTTCTGTTACTACCCTGTGCCATGTATGTACAAGCATTTTCTAAACAGGGCA